TCGCTAAGTATCAAAGCACTCCTCACTCAGTATTCTTAGCTAGATTTTACAGCCCTGACATTTTTATATTAAAAGAATCTTTAAAGTCCAACTGTCTACTAGTAGATTATGTAACACATTGTGAGGCTTAAAAAACGTTTTCACTAATATCTAGAAAATCATCACTGTTTTTCTTTATTCAACAATATGACTACAATGTACATACTTACCACCATGCATTTATTTAACTTCACGTCAATGGGAAAAATTAGATATGTATGTTGAGAGTTGAGCACACTAATATCCCTTTGAGTTGAACTATAATTACAAATGTTTCAATATCTGAGTCAGCTCTGCAAAAATATTTTATTAAATGTTTCTTAGAAAAAGGTCTATGTTCCAAGAAGTTTGGAAATATGCAGTGGGATACATAAAGGGCATATCTTGATGTCTTAATTTTCTTTGGGGCTTGTCTCTCTTGCATTCTTGGACAGCCATAAAACCACTGGACCAACCATAGTGCTGCTGGCATCAACAATCATTTTAGTGGCAAGCACAAGATCTAAATGGACAAGCTTAAATCTAAATCTCACTCAGATCTAAAGCCTAGATCTAAATCCCACTGGACATAGGGAGCGCCTTTCTCTGCATACACATACTGCTTTGCCAGTCAGAGAGAAGGAAAGCCAATGTGCGCCAGTGGTCCTTTTCACACAGCACAGAGAGTCCTCTCTACTGAATATTTAAGTTTTTAAAAGTCCTGGGTAATGAAACACACTTGTATACCACATGACTGCATAGAAACTTGTTACGGTTGATGTGCATCAAGTATCTCCAAGAAGACTGGCCAAATTAAAATATGAAATTTATTTTTCCTTTTCTGAGGAAAAGACATGCTAGAGTATACTACATCATAGCTATGCAATTCAAATCCTGCACTAAGCTAAATAAAAGTCAGGAAAGAAAGTCACTTAGGCATGTGATTGTAAATGATTGTTTAGGTTCATTTTTTTCTTAATAGTATTTTTAACAAAAATATAGTTTCAGAGTTTTGTGTCCAGCTGTTTGGCAGACTGTTGTCCTGGTTCTTTGGCTCCTTGCTTGGAAAATTCACAAGCAGGGCGGGTGGAATGGAGTGACTGCAGACAGGAAGCAATTCTACACAAACAGCTTGTATTGAAGAAAAGAGGGGAGCCATACAAAGCGAGAGTACGTTCCAGAGAGGAACAGGTCAGTCTCCAGGACTGGAGAAAGATGTTGAGGGCACCCAGATGGTTTCCTTGTATTGGCCTGGTCCAGGGAGGCTTACGGGAGATGTGGGATGTTATCAGATGATTGATATACATGATTGACAGGTGTCCTTAGACCAAAGTTGCAGCTCCACAGGTGTGTGTGCCTCAGAACCTTAAGTTCCTGGTCTTTGTGGTTGTTAGCTGTGTTTTCCTGCAGCCCCTTCCCCAGCTTTTCCCTAGGTACCACCCTCCTGGCCTGTATCTTCCACTTGCAGATTTGGTCCCTGCCTAATAAGAGTACAATAATATGGATATTCATAAATTATAAAGGAGACTGGCTTATTCTAAACAAAGGAGTAGAAAAAGATATAGGAACAAAGTCAGTGAGCAAGCTAGACTATTTTAGGCTAGAGTATCTATTTCTCTGTCCCTTGTAAGAGCCAGCCTAGAGCTCTGCACATTGTGTATTATCAGTATATAATTGTTGACTTGATTCATAACACTGAATACCATGGATTAAATGTTTACTTCCTTAGCATGGTCATGACAACTAGTGATATTACTGATGTTTCTTTCATTCACAGTGGCACATGGGAAATAACATTAGAAGTGTTAAGTTCCAAAAGAGAATACTGGAAATGTGTACATTGGGTTGCATATATATATTATCAGGTTATGTCAGTGGAACAGAAATATTGGAGACTATGACTACCCAAGAGACACTGAAATGTTTAGATTGTCGTCCACATGATGTATTCTTCCTTTATGGTGGTGGCATCAAAGGCCAAGCAGGAACCCCAAAGCAAGGACTTTCACTCACATGGACTACCCAGTTACTGCTCCTGAAGAATATGAAATCTACTAGCAGAAGATACAAATGTCAAACACTTGATGTGGTACCATGCCTCAAGGTAACCAGCCAGCCACTTAGTGGAAACTGGATCACTTTGGACCCATTCCATCTTAACAAGGATGATAATTCATCCTTAGTGAGATCAATATACACTCCTCGCCTGGGTTTCCCTTCATTCCCTGCAGTGCATCAGTCAGAAACACTATCAGAATGCTGACAATTTGTCTGCATTACTGATATAGGATCCAACCTATTAATAACATCATCTTGTATTTTCCTGGATAGAGCTGGAACCCATTCTACTAAGGGAAGTATCCCAAGAATGGAAAAATAAGCACCACATGTACTCACCAGCAAATTGGTTTCACTGATCAACACCTAAGTGGACACATAGGAATAACATATCGGGCGTTGGGCAGATGGGAGGGAGGAGGCGGGGATGGGTATATATATACATAAAGAGTACGAAGTACACCATCTGGGGGATGGACACGCCTGAAGCTCTGACTTGAGGGGGCTGAGGGGGCAAGGGCAATATATGTAACTTTAACATTTGTAACCCCATAATATGCTGAAATTAAAAAAAAGGGAAAGGTTTAGAAACAAATCATCTTTTTTAACTTACTGAAGATTGTAACCACCTAAAGACTTTAAGAAAAACAGATATTAATAGGACTAGTAGCTTACTTCATTTTAAATAATTATATTACTTTTAAATGATCAGGAAATTAACTTTAAACTATTCATTATTCAAGCAGATTGAATCGATGACTATTATTGAATCGTTGACTATTATTCCATATGGGACCATTAAAAGACTCGGTTATAACTACAAAAAACATAACATTATCTTGGACAAAGATGTTCACTTTAGAGAAAGTATGATAGTGGACACATGGGTAAGAGATCCACAACTGTATACAGCATCAATTGTAAACTGCCTGATAGAATATTGGAATGGACTCTTAAAAGTTTGACCTGGGCAATAGTTTAATGATGATGCCTTTCAGTGTAGAGGCAGAGTCCTTGCAGTATAATATTGGATTATACTGCATTATACTGCATTATACTGGATTATACTGGATTATACTGCATTATAACTTGCAGTATAATATTGGACCCCATGGCCATCTTACAATGTTGTGTCTGTACAGTTAGAAAATAGGGCCAGAAACAAAAAGAGGATACAAGTAATAGTGGCCTATCTCACCATCATTTTCAATAACTTGAGGAATTTGTGCTTCCCTTCCTGTGGCTTTAATATAGTCCCCTAGGGACATCAATATTTTCTCATTGCCTGGTCTGTGTATTAATTTGGGGCTTTACGTAGAATCAGACCACAGATAAGAAAATAGGTTCTGATAATATGTGTGAAATTAACAGTGATAATTATGTAAATCAAGACTTTGTTGCTGGTTATAGAGGATTCTAAGAAGATGGTAGAGTAGGAAGCACCCAGAATCTGTCTCTTTACCTAGACAACAATTACACTGGCAGAATTTGTCTCATGTAACTATTTTGAAACTCTGCCTGTAGTCCATTGAGGGCTTGTAACTGTCAGGAGAGAACTTGGATGGTACATTGTAGTTAATTTCTGTCCATTTCAGCTCTTAGCATTTTTTGTGTTTTTGATAGTAGCCATCCTAATGGGTGTGAGGTGGTATCTCATGGTAGTTTTGATTTTCATTTTGCTGATAATTAGTTCACTTTCTAATTTTCAGCTACTACCCATCCCATTTCAGCAGCTACCCACCTCACCCATAGTCCCATGCCAACAGCTGTGCCTGGGGTCCTACTACAACCTGAACATGATAGCTTGGGGAAGCTAGATGGACACAAAGGGCTCTTTCCTCCAAACATCGTGGATCTGTGTCCTGGTTGGTGCGGACAGAGAGGCAGGGGACCACTGTTGTTACACTGTCTCCCACTGTTGCAAGCCTCTTCCCTTGCAGCTGAAGTGACTTCCAGGGGATTTAAAGGGCTGACACCCTTTCCCCCAACTCCTTAATTTTTCTCTTTCTCCAATTATGGGAGGAAGAAATGAGAAACTAACATATGCAAAGCAACTGCAGAGACAGAGAAAATTAGAAAGTGAATTAATCAGTAGGTAAATGCAAATCAACACTATGATGAGATACCTCTTTATATCCATTAAAGAGGCTTACTATCAAGAAAACAGAAAATAACAAATATTGGTAAGTATGTGGAGAAATTGAAACCTTTGTACACTGTTAGTGGGAATGTAAAATGGTTCAAACATTGTGGAAAACTGTATGGTGATTCCTCAAAAAATTAAAAATAAAGCTAGAGTTAAGAGCCATATAACAATTTAGTCAATGATGGACCACATATACTATTATGGAGTCATGAGGTTATAATACCATAATTTTATTATACTTTTCCTATGTTTAGATATATTTACATATACAAATATTTATCATTGTGTTACAGTTGCCTACAGCATTAAGTACAGTAACACATTATACAGGCGTGTGCAGCAATAGGCGACATCATATAGCCTACACATGTAATAGGCTATCCCATCTAGGCTTGTACAAGGACATGCTATGATGTTAGCACAGTGATGAGATCAACTAATGATGCATTTCTCAGAATGTAACCCCATTGTTAAGTGATGCATGATTGTATCGTATGATACAGCTGTGGGTATAGACTCAAAATAATGGAAAGCAGGGCCTCAAAAATATTCATGCACCCATGTTCACAGTAGCATTATTCACAATAGCTAAACTCTGGACACAACTCATGTGTCCATCTGCAGGTAAATGGATAGGAAAAATGTGGAGTATACAACAATGAAATATTATTCAGCCTAAAAAGAGAGAAAATTCTGACATATGCTACAACATGGATAAACCTTTTATGCAATATGACATCTAGTAAGAAAAGGAAAAATACCATATGATTCCACTTACTTGTGGTACGGAGGGTAGTGAAAATCATTGAGACAGAAAGTGGAATGGTGGTTGCCAGTACCTGGGTGGAGGAGGAAATGAATATTTATTATTTAATGGGTATTAAGATTTAGTTTTAGAAAATGAAAAGAGTTATGAAGATGGATGCTGGTATGGCTGCACAACATTATTAAAGCCTTTAAAAGCAATGCATTGCACACTTAAAATTGTTTCAAATGATAAATTTAATATAATATGTGAATTGTATCACATTAAAAACTTTGAAAAAAAGGAAAGAGTTTGCTGCTTCAAAATGAGAGAGGATATGAGGATATTTGGGGCTCAGGGGCTTCCCTGTGATCTTTCTTGGTGTACCCATGACATTGACAATAATAAATAGGCAATTGCAACAACTGTACCTTAACAGGACATGGCAACTGAAGCTTAGATACCTTAGGGATAAAGGCTTGGTTCATCTTATTAACTGTAGGTCAGCCAAAGTGCTGGCTTAGGGTGAGAGGAATTGAGAATCAATGAGAGAGAAGGAAGATGATGAATATGGTCTCGACTTGGACTAATATGTGTATGTAAGAAATTGTGTCTTTAAAAATTTTATTTAGTTGCCTGATATTTTGTCATAAAAATATGAGTTTAGCTAAATTAACTTCAAGTATCCTACTGACTTTCTAAAAGTTTAATTATGTAGTATAAAAGTTGATATTATTTACTGAAACAATGCTTGATACCTCATAGGCATTTTTCCAAGTGCTTTCACTGTATTAATTTAAAATTCATCCTATGAGATAGATGCTATTAATATTATTAGTGCTGTTGTTATCATTTTACAAGTGGAGCATTCAGATAAAGCCACACATCATTTATAAATAAACTTTTAAATAATTCTCATTAGAGCATTGGTAGATATAAGATGTATAATAATCTCTACTATCTACATAAAAATTACTTTTGATAGGACATGATCATATTTCAAAGTTTAAGATAACATGTATCTATAAACACATACACACACACACATATATACAATAAGGCTAATATTAAGAAAGCAAAAAACAAAATAAAAAACCCACAACACATCTGGTATATATAAAAATGTATATTTTGTGTATTCCTCACATTGTGGATTGAATAGTTGATTTGTTTCCACTTTATTAAAAAAGTATTGTATGCCCAAGACAAATAATGTTATGTGTCTGAGACCTGGTATTTCTGATAGTACTAGTTAGAACAGTAATTTATTTTGAAATATGTTATCACATTTGTCAATTAAACTAGAGTAAAAATGTGTACAGTTATTTCCAATTTCATTGATTTTATTTTTAAAATCAAAACATGAAAAATACTTTTCTATTATATGTAAATGCTGGAGATGTTGGAAAGGACTAAGTCACAAATTTTAAAAATTATAATATTTCTAGTTTTGTCACAATGTGTCAAATATACTTTTGAAACTGTGTTTATTTTAGTGTAAGTTCATTTTGAAGTTCGTATTGATATCTTTTGGTGAAGTTCTTCCTTGTGATGAAGAATGGCAAATAACACTCATACATTTTTAAAATTATCAGATTAGAGCAAAGGATGGTTAACAGGAATAAATAAAGAAAAATTGTTTCACAGATAGAGATCTGCAACAGCATCTGAGAATATAAAGCTCAACTAGTTTTTGTTCTCCATAAGGAAATATAAATGTTTCATATAGATAAGAAGTGATGTTGCGGCTGCCACAATGGGAATAAAGGCTGATAGAAACTATCAACATTCCTTATCCTTGGTCTTTCCATGGGGTCTTTAACCCCATACCAACCCCCCCCCAAAAATTTATAAAACTCACTAGACTGAAAGAAGGGTACAAGGAAACATAAAAGAGATCAGGAGAATACAGTATAAAAGTTTTTTATAGTTCTCTGTGGTAACTAGGAGTGATAAGCCCCAACAACCCCTGCCTCTGTGTGCATGTATGCCATTTCTCATACCAACAGATGGAGATTATTTGATCTGCCCATGGATCTGTGCAGGCCTTATGATTGGCCTTGATTATGGAATGTGTCACAGGTAACAGTATGGGACTTTCAAATTCAGCCTTGAAAGGACTGCCAGTTTTCGCTTCATGCCTCTTAGAACTCAGCCATCACTCTGTGAGAAGCTCAAGCCACATACTGAGGCCAAGCAGTCAAGAATGGAGGTGCTTCCTTTGACAGCCCCAGTGGAGGCCCCTTCCACCTGTCTGCACCAACTTCCAGCTGTGTCAACCGACTATTTAAATGTCCCAGACAAGTCGGCCTCTACGAATGTAATGCAGCCCACAGAATCACGAGAAATATAAAATCGCTATTCTTTAATCCACTAAATCTGGGTTTTTTTGTATATAGCAATAAGTAACTGATGAAATCTTCTAGATCTACATTCTAAAAGAATTCATGAGTTTAAACTTTGAGAATTGTCAGTTCTTAAGATTAGACTTGACCTTTCTTTTATATTCCTACAATATAATTTGTATAGTTAAATAGGATGCTGTTTTCAAGATACTGGGCAAAGAATTTGGCAATACCGAGACACATGGCAAAGATATTTCTCTTAATATCTTATAGTGTTATGGAAAGTCCAGTATTGTAAACACTAATGCTTTATGCTTTTGTTAATTTTGTATTTCATAAAGGATCCAGAGGTTGAGAAAAGGAAATGTGAAGGGATTTTTTTTTTTAATGACGAATACTATAAAATTCAATGGAGTTAAAATTGACCTTACATAGGAAAACAAACCCCCGACTAGCGTAGTAAACACCAGGTGATTCCATATTGTGTTAATTTAAGATGTAGTAAGAATGAAAACTGGAGAAGTATCTCCAGATCTCGAAAGGCATTGTAAACTTGACTATTAAATTTGGATCTTTGAATACAGGTATTAGACAGCATGTTAGTGTTTGTAGTAAGCAGTTACCATATTTGAGTTTGAGAGGAAAAGTTATTTTATAAAAGTAAAAACTTTATTAAAGTGATGTATAGCCCTTCTACTTTTGAAATGCAAGAGTATCAGGGTCTGGAATTACTTTTCTGACATAAATGCCTAGAAAACTTGATAAAAACATGGAAAAAATACATATGCTAAGAGTAAATTCTAAGTATTTTCATACATAAAAAATGATAAATATGTGACATAATACACATGCCAATTAGCTTCATTTAGCCATGCCACAATGTATACACATATCAAAACATCATGTTGTATTCCATAAATATATACAATTTTTTTGGCAATTAAATTAAAAAATTAAATTAAAAAAGAAAAAAACAATTGGCAGATATCAGGCAATAAGCAGCACTAAATAGAATTCCCCCAAATAAGGAACATATTGGATTTAAGCTATATCTTTGCCCAGACTTTCTCCCTAGAGGCAGTTTTCAGTATATGATATTTGGAAATAGAACTGGCATGTTCACTGATTCGAGGAGACAAGAGATCTGAGTTCGAGAAGGCTGAACTGACTAAAATTTACAGGGTATAATTCCAGAGAGGAGACAGCTATACATAGAAAAAGTTTCATATATTGGCACAGAGTTACTTCTGAATCTTTAGCTATATGCAAATCTGTATGTGCATAGGCTAGAAGTTCATGAAATTGGGCAAAAATTTGAAAAAAAACTCTGTAAGACAACAATTCTCAGTGCTCAAAAGACTAGGAATTTTTTTAAAATCTCTTCAATTAGAGAGTAGGGAATTTGTTTCATCCATGGCATGTTCAGTTGAAAACTGTTTAAAACTCTTTTTTTTTTTTTTTTTTTTTTTTTGAGACAGAGTCTCGCTTTGTTGTCCAGGCTAGAGTGAGTGCCGTGGCATCAGCCTAGCTCACAGCAACCTCAAACTCCTGGGCTCCAGTGATCCTTCTGCCTCAGCCTCCCGAGTAGCTGGGACTACAGGCATGCGCCACTATGCCCGGCTAATTTTTTATATATATATATCAGTTGGCCAATTAATTTCTTTCTATTTATAGTAGAGACGGGGTCTCGCTCTTGCTCAGGCTGGTTTCGAACTCCTGACCTTGAGCAATCCGCCCGCCTCGGCCTCCCAAGAGCTAGGATTACAGGCGTGAGCCACAGCGCCCGGCCTAAAACTCTTTTAAAAAAATCACTCAACAATAGAAAATTAATAATATTGTGTATGAAAACCAACAAAAACCAGATTTATAAAGAAGCAGGGCAATATGACCCGTAACCAGTAGAAAATCTATAACTAGAATCATATCCAGAAATAACGGAAATAATGGAATAGGAAGAGAAAGCCATATTAGTAATGATTATCTTAAAAAATCTTTAAAAGATGTGAATCCTTAATGCAAAATATTATCAATGCTTTGTTAGTATTGTTTCAAACAATGGTAGTACATTGTTTACTACTATGTAAAATAGATCAATATACCTCAAAAAACAAGGGGATAAATGGAAGTATACTGTTGTAAAGCATAAATGTACAAGAAAAAAAGTAAAGTAAAAAACTCAATAAATACACAATGTAGTTGGGAATTTTAATACCCCTCTTGGTAATTGATAAAAGAACTAGACTAAAAAGAAATCAGTAAAAATATACGTAACGTTTAAATAATGCTGTCAAACAATGTGATTAAATTAACATTTATAAAATACTATATTGAATAATAGAAAAATATACCTTCTGTTCAAGTACACAGGGAAATTGATTATGATATACTGCATCTTCAATTGTAAAATAAATTTTTAGCAAATTTACATAATTCAATCCATGCAAAGTATATTCTCTGATTACAATTAAATTTAATTAGACATCAATATAAGATGTTACAAAAACCTTCAAATATTTTAAAATCAAATAATATAATTAAACTAGTTCATGAGAACAAAAAGAAAACACAAGATGAATCAAAAGCATTCTATACTGAATGAAAATAAAACATCATGTCAAATTTATGGAGTGAAGATAAATTTATACTTAGAAATGTGTAATTTTAAATGCTTGCATACGAAAAAATAATCAGAGATTTTTAATATTCTAGAAAAACAAGAAAAATTTAATGCCAATTAAAGTAGGAAGAA